CTAATTTTGACAAACCTCATGTACACACACACACACACTCAAATAATTATATATAAATGCGATTGTACAGCTATGTGAATGAATTCGCCGAACAGAGCGATTAGCTTGACCAATAAGGTATCTAAAGTCCTAGACTCAATAATATTGCGTAGACTAAATGGTACTCGGAAGGAAAAAACACGAGAGAACCAAGCAAGCTTTAGACCAGGAAGAGGGTGTATTGAACATATCTTCACCCTTCGACAGATTCTGGAACATAGTCATACTTACCGGCGTCTAACAATAGTTATATCTTTCACCTGAAAGCGGAATTCTAGTCTGTCAACCGAGAGGTACTATGGAGATGTTTGCCTGTGAAGAAAATGACAACAAAATACATCGAACTCATCAAGACACTCACTCTACTCGAACTCATGCAGCCAGGTAACAGCTAACGGTAAATTGTCATCTGAAATGGTGACAACCAGTGGTGTACATCAGGGATGCCGACTGTCCCCACTTCTGTTTAATTTCATCATAGATTTACTAGTGGACTAAACTCTAACTGGCTTCAGCGACTCAGAGATTGACTTGATACATAACATAACATAACATAACATAACAATTTCGCTTTATTCCAGAAACAGTACTTGTGGTACAGTGTGGAATTTTCAGCACATATCTACAATATTGCATCTAATTTCATCGTACATTTAAAAGGAGTATTATAAAATAAAAATAAAATATAATAAAAACCAAAAAAAGAAACAGAAATAACCAAAAAAATGCAAATAAAAATACTGAGTAAAAAAGAAGACGAACACAAATAATGAAAAAAAATATTTCAGTATTAGTTAGTGGAAGCTACGATATGTGTATGCGTGGTGAACAGTAACAGCTATAATCATACGGGAAATTATGAAATGTTCTTAAAAAAAATGTTTATAGCCAAGATGATCAGTTAATTTGATTGAACAACACTAAGCAATCATAAGATAAACATTTCAGGTTTTTTTTTGTCAGTACTAATGCGGTTGTTTGTAGTGGCAGTGTGAAGAATCATGCATAATACAAAATTTTTTAAGATGGTGATAGTGGCAATAACAAACAAGATTGTCAGTTAAATAGTGCCGAACAAAGAACAACCACAAAACTAATGTTACATGATGGTTAATGACGGGACAATTTTTAATAATCATAGTGATAATATAGTCGGACCCAGTAGATGTACAAAGAAGGAGTAGAATAAAGAATAAAAATGTAAGCCAATGATAATAATTTTAAGCAGCTAAGTATCATACCATCATCAGCGAACAATATCATTATTTTATTTTTTTTATTTATGATTACAGCTTGATTCCACACTGTATTTTTGGTACAAGTATGGAATTTTCAGCGTGGATACCGGTGGCCCAAAATTGGCAGGCCGACCATTGACCTAAAATACGCAGATGATATAGTCCTCTCTTCTAGGTGAGGACGCTGACAAAATGTTGAGTCTTCTAAAAACCTTGAGCTGCAATCTACCAATGTTTGGCATGCGATTCACTCCCGCCAAATGTAAGATGATGTTACAGGACTGGAATACATCGACGTCTAGTTTAAAAGTAGGAAGTGAAGTGGTAGAGCACGTTGACCGCTTCACTTATATGAGAAGTACCATCAGCCAGTGCCAACGGGTTGATCTCTGACGAAATCTCAGATGAGTACGAATACAGGGGGCTCGTTTCGCATTTGCCAGTTTACGCCAACTCTGGCGTAGATGAGATGTTCGACTACCGACCAAAGGGCGGGTGTACTGCTCATCAGTCCTCTCCGTCCTCCTTTATGGCTGCTAGTGAGACCTGGCCACTGAGAGTGGAAGACATGAAAAGGTTGGTTAGCTGTCTTCGATCATAGGTGCCTGCACTCCCTCTCTCTCTGTGAAGTGGTATAATGAGGTGAGGAATATTCAGGTAAGGCGTTGGTCGAGTGCTAGGTAAGGTGGGAGGGGAAATCAATCGACGAGGCTGTGAAGCTACATCGACTGAGATGGTTAGGACATGTGTTACGTATGCTTAGTCATCACCTTCCTCGACGGGGAATTTTATCTGACTGACATAGGGTCAGGCTGGAAAACAGCTAGCGACGGTCAAACCAAAACATGGCTTTATCAGTCAATGACATCTACAACAGTTAGTTTAATCCAGCCAAGTAGGAAGGTGTAGACTTCCTGATGGGTTGGGGTCCTCGGGACAGTAAAAACCAATGGCTAGAGACAATTAGTGATATGGCTCAAAGCTATCGTTCTCAATGGCTGGCTGGCTCAGATGCATCCACTCCTTGTGATTTATGATTTCCAATGAAACTGTTTTTTTCTTCGTTATTACTATTCCTTTGTTTCACACCTCTGTTTACTGTCTCTATTATGCATTTCTTCTACTTTCTTCTCTTGGTTTGTGTGGTACATGGAGTGTGGTGACTTGAACTGTCCTACATATGTGCAAAGTTCTATGTCGAAGACAGACAGTGGACATGCTCACGCCACTCCAACACAATGTGTATAAAGCAGGAAAGGTATTTACTGACCGGAAGAAAAGCTAACTTGCAAAACTGTCAAAGAAGGGGGACTTATGTCTGTACGAGATGTGTCACGACTATACTCCTGTTCACCCCAAGTAAGAAACAATATTGTGCATCATTCTGGGAAGGCTGAAAGATGCTCTGAATAGCAATTAAACCCTTAACCTAGACTTCATCAACTTTTAAAAAGGGCTTCAACAACGTCACGTGCGAAGTAATTTAGAAACTGCTTCAGCACAACGGAGTACCTCGAACATTTAATAGCTCACTTAATAACCACAACGGGAAACTCAGTGAAGCCTTTGAAGTGAAGACAAGAGTAATACGAGGCTGCCTACTTCCACTGATGATCTTGGTGATTGTGATGGACTAGATCACACTGCAGCTCTTAGGGAGGAAGAAGATGAGTATACTTCGGACTGGCGAAAATACCCTAGGATATCTTGATATTTCCGATCATTTATGTCTCATATCGCATAAACTCAAAGATATACTAGTGAAAGTCAAGAAGTTGGCAGAAAAGACAGGGCTTTAAGTGAATAAAATAGTTAACCAAGAACAAGGTTCACCTATTATTATCAGTAGTAATTAGATTGAAAACACGCTTAGGACCGTCGATTAACATGGTTCTGCAGGCAATAGCTCATGTGTAACCCGAATGAGAGTTGACTAGTCTCGCGCCCGAGAGTGTTATGTTGGAGATCGTGTGAGGAGAACCTAGGGGTAAGCGTGGGGGTAGTTAAATAGGACCGAAGAAAACAGGATGAAATGGAGATGTGGTGCTGGATCCGTATATCCCACTATGAAAAGGACGATAATGTTGTCACCATTCAACTAATCGACCACTCTCACTATGTAAAGCCGTTAGGAATTAAATATTATTGACGAGTATTAGACAGGATGATTTAATTACCAACTGTATCCTCTTTACCTATAGTAGCAAAAGAACGAGAAGGGAAATTATGCCTCTCTGCACCCAATTAAATATCTCTCTCTTTCATCAATCCCTGAGTAAGTTCTGAAGCCAGTCGCTGACCATCTTATCATTCCCGAAACTAACTAAATTCGCCAGAAGACCTGGATGAGAAACCTCTTCTAAAGCTTTGTTGGAGTCTAGGAATGTAGCATCATATTTATTGGACAAACTTTTCCGTGACAAAAGAAGGTTAGTCAAGCTAGAATGATATGTCTTTTCTCGGCTAAAAATTTATTACTTTCAACATGTTGAATAACAACATCAGTGACAGTTCCCTCTAGCTGTTTAAGAATAATACTTGTTATACTAGCAGAATGTTAGTTCTAAAAGAGTTTCTAAGTCCGCTTTTGAAAACCAAACTAATGGTAGTATCTTTTCAGTCTTGTGGGAACTTACATTAGCCTATTGATAATTTGAACAGAAACAAAGACTGGCCGAGTCATAGTCTCACTTAGTGCTGGCAGTATCCATGGATGGAATTTATAAGGACCACTAGACTTACTGAGATCGAAATCTACAAGCAGTTTTAGAAGGATATTGAGGTAGCATTCTTAAATCACCTTCCAGCAAGCCTACTATAGGTACACTGATGTCTTCAGAAATCACTTGATTCAATTCTTTCTCGCTGGCTCAGCTTACATTTCGTGTTTGCTGTGTTCCTTGAGCAATAAGGGTGATGTTTTCGGTTATTTCTTGTTGATTATGGTGTCAATTAAATTTGCTGCAGAACCCTGAAGATGTTCTTGATCCTTTTCCTTAACCAGACAACTCTTGTGACCTTTCTTTTTATCCATAGTGGACCAGTCGTTTACTCACTAGCAATCATCCTACGATTGGAAACAGACATATTTAACTAATCTAGGTGTACTGTTTAATTCATTCTATTCACTATAAATAGACAAGTCATCAGTAAATCATCAATTCAAATCTATTAACCGATACTTGTGATTTTCGTATGTCATACTTTAAGAAGAGCCTGTGGCTGTAATCGAACTAAATCACAAGCCTTAATATTAGAATATAACACATCACCTTCACTATGAATTAGAAGAAAATCAATAATTAGACTATTAATATCATCTATGTCATGAGTTAATACCAGATCATTGTGAAAGTAATGGGTTGATCAGTGTTTTGATCAAAATAGCATAAAGTGTATAACGATGATTGGTAAACTGTATCTGACTGCACTGTTACTATATAATTTCTCTCCAAGAAGCATTATATGTGATACACTTCACTGATGTGATGAATATAGGTTTTATGTTTGTGCTTTATTATATAGAATGCTAAACAACTTGCCACTTAGTCACTTACTTATACTGTTCTAATTAACAGTCAAAAATCATTAGAAGACGGACCTACGTCTTACTTTCCTCAGCATATGCCTAATAGCAACTAGAGAGGATTTCACGCATAAACAAATGAATTGTACGCATTATCACTAATTTTTTTTCTAAATAGGTAAAGCAAAGAATAAGATGTGGAGGAAATTTTCTATTTTTCTTTTGTTTGATTGTCAAATAACATTCTGATGAAAGCAATAGTAACAACAACAGTAGAAGAGGTAGCGGTAAAAACAACAGAATACCACGTTAGTGGAGCTATGCATGTGCGTATGCGTGTAGGTGTCTTTCAGTGGATCATTTTTACAATATGTCAGTGAACTGACTGGTTAGAAGAAGATGAAGAAGAGACGCAGAAAAAGATAGAAACCAAAAAAATATATTCCTGATATTGGTTCTGTTCAAGTGTTCAACTGAATTTTCGTTTTCAAATTTATTAAACTGTTCACTTGGACATTTAAAACAACTAACCAGAAGAAATAGGAGAATTATTCAAATCATACTGTATATATAAAAATAAATTGGAGAGAGAAACATAAAAAAAGAAATATGTACAAACGTTAACTGAAACAAAAATGACATTACAAAAAAGATAAAGAGAAGCAATGCAGAAAGATAACGGCTGCGAAAATAACACGAACAACAATAAAAGCTTATTATCAACTCAACTGCTGAATTGTTCATCACTTTGTGATGGTCCAGCGGCTATAGCAAGTTGAGGATTAGGCGCAGGCAAAGCTAACAATTCACGTCTGCCTTGTAATCTTTGAGGAATGTTGTCATTGCCATCGTCAGAATCAACTTCATCATTATCATTTTGATCAAAGCGGTTTAATTCATCATCGGCAATATCCACAGCCTCATCGACAATCATCTCAGGGAATGGATTCCCTAATATCTCCGCATTCATGTCAGGTATTGAATCAATAATTGTACAATGTGGAAATAAATATCTTAAAGTAATTAAACTACCAGCATGAATTTCAGGACAAAAGGATACATCTAGTAGTTTTAATTTTTGACATTGTTTCAAGAAGATAGCAATAGCTGAAGTGGTAATATTAGTTGAACTATGAATATCTAATTGTTCTAGTGTTGAATTCAAACACTCACCAAGTGTAATTAATTCTTCAGAGTTGAGTAAACTGCAAAGAAAAAACAAGTTAGATATGAAAAAATGGTTAGAGAGGAAATAAGACAATGTAGACGGATCGAATTCACAATTTGCACACTGATTTGTAATTTATACAGTTCGAGGTGAAATTTCAACACAGTTCCCTTTGGAAACGGAAATTATTCAGATTGTGAATTTTATTCATGGAATTACCAGTTCGCCTAAATAGCTAGTCATAAATCGGGTGGTTTAAACTGATTTGGCTATTTGAACTGAGTCAAACCGGGTAGACCCTTGATGACCTCGATCGCAAACGGCTGGCGTTTACATCACTTCGATGTGGTTGGTAAGCACAATTGGTTAATGTGAATGATATAAAACTACTCATCTCAATCAAACAATAGTACATAGTTTCATGCACTGTAAATGAAGTACACAGAAAGTATTATGTTGCCAGTGACCAGAAGTGGAATCAAAAATGCACGTTTCATTCTAAATGTGACTCATCACAGCTTGATGTATCTGAGAGCCCAGTGAACGATGGTAACCCATTGACAGTCGAATATAGTACCCATCATTTCAACAAAGGAGTGGATACATATTTAAGAAGAACACAGGTAACTTTCTCTTCACGTTCTACAGCTGTATATATCAATATCGATTATACAAGCTATTATATCGGTTTTTCATTTGTAAAAGCAAATTATCGGAAAGCACATTCTAAGCTCAGCAGTGAAATATCTGTGTGTCTTTCAGTTATTATGAGAACTTTCAGAATGATATTGAAAACTCATTTAAATATTTAGTGAATACAATCACCTTGTAAGGTATACATATGTAAGAGGAAAGTATGCTTTTCCTCTTACTGAGAGTAAGTAGTAGTTTTGATTATAAAAGCAACTAAGGAAATGTGCACTTTTGCTTATTATAATAGTTAGATCGTAGTTATTCATTAAGGATAAAGACAAAATTTTGAATACCAAATTATTAAATCTAAGAGAATGTTCACCATCATCGATCAACCAATATATATATATATATGCTTTTGTGCAGTACAGTCTTCCGAACCTCTGTTATGTCCACTTATCATATATCAAGATGCGTATATTTCTATATGAAATGTATAATTCGCTTGTACTTGCACTTTCTGTTCATTGATTTTACTGTTTTGAAAAATACCGTGTAGCCGGTCTAGTTCTAATGGATCATAAACAAATAAAGATGGAGTAAATGGCTGTAGTATCAATAGAACAGAGGATTTACAAGTAGGAACGGAGACTAAAGTTCACTGTAGTCTCCGTTCCTACTTGTAAAACTAGTTTGAAATTGCAGGGAAGGACGGTTGTCCCCTCAAGGATCTGACTTATTGATGAACCGTGATCAATCTTCATTTCTATGCATTACCATAGTCAACCATTTTGTTTTCTATGAAACCTTGCGTCTACCTATGTAGCAGTCGTGCCACACCACCTGAAAGATTTAAAATGCTTCTAATAACAATAAAATATATCAGAGCTAAAGTGTCAACAGATTTGGTGTTCTTTGGGACAGAGCTTTCGGTGCCGTTCTAGTTGTCACTTCTACCAATTTAGTTTTACTGAGCTTTTTCCACTAATATTTCTAATCTGTTAGGCTGAATTTTGCAGGCCGACCATAGATATCAGGTATGCGTTGGCAGGGGATCAAACCTCGGCCCATGTGCATGGTCGGCGAGAGTCCTAACCACTGTGCCACCGATGCACATGATCCTATACAAAAAGTAGCACACTTATAGAAAAAGTGTTGATAGCCAGTAAGGTAAGTGTGATTACATAAATAAACTACACAGTTAAAAAGGACATTGGTTATATATTGTGATGTTTAACAATAATCTGATAACTACAAATGATCAAGTTATTCATTTTTTCTATGAGATTCAAAAATCAATGTACTTTCAATGTGTGAAGGCTTTTGAATCCATGGACTGAGAGGTACTATGGAGATGTTTGGCTGTGAAGAAAATGACAACAAAATACATCGAACTCATCAAGACACTCACTCTACTCGAACTCATGCAGCCAGGTAACAGCTAACGGTAAATTGTCATCTGAAATGGTGACAACCAGTGGTGTACATCAGGGATGCCGACTGTCCCCACTTCTGTTTAATTTCATCATAGATTTACTAGTGGACTAAACTCTAACTGACTTCAGCGACTCAGAGATTGACTTGATACCATCATCAGCGAACACTATCGTTGACTTGGAATATGCACACTATATGCTCTTGATCGTAGGTTGAGACGCTGACAAAATGCAGTTTTCTCAACACCTTGAGCAACTATCTTTGAATGTTCGGCATGCAATTCGCTGCCTTTGTTAAATGTAAGATGATGCTACAAGACAAGACAAGACTGGACTACACTGACTCCTAGAATAAAAATGGGAAGTAGAATGGTACACCGTGTTGACCACTTCACTTGTTTGGGGTGTTGCCATCAGCCAGTCCCAGCGGGTCGATTGATGACGAAGCCTCAACACGGATACAGAAGGCTCCTTTGGTATTTTCCCGAAAACTTACGTCACTGTCTAGCGTAGACGCGATATCCAACTGGTTATCGACCAAAGGATACATCCAGCGCTCAGCAGTCCGCCCTGTCCTCCTTTATGGATGTGAGTAAGACATGACCATTGAAAATGGAAGACATAAAAAGGCTAGCTAGCTGTATTTGATCATAGGTGTCTGAGTTCTATCCCCCCCCCGCCTCCCGTGTGAAATGGTATAATGAGGTGAGCAATACTGAGGCAAGGCCTTGGTCGAGTACTAGGTAAGAAGAGGAAATCAGTCGATGAGTTTGTGAAGTTACATCGATTGAGATAGTTAGGACATGTGCTACGCATGCATTCCTAGCCACCCATCACTTTCCTCGATCGACGGACAATGGTAGCTGACATAGGATGGATCAGGTCGGAAAAGGGCCAGTGGTGGCCAAACCAAAACATGGCTTTATCAGTCAACGAAATCCACAACAGTTAGTTTAAGACACTTAGGAAGGTGTAGACTTTCTGAGGGGTTGGGGTCCTCAAGATGGTAAGAACCAATGGCTGGAGACAATTGATGATATGACTCAAAATTGTTCTCAATGATGGCGCAGTTGCATTCACTCTTTGTGATTTATCATAGCAAATAAAACTCTATTGTTTCTCTGCATTACTATTCTTTTTGCCTTATATCTCTGTTTTGAATCTTTCTCTACTGTCTTCTCTTGCTGTGTGCTATATGGATTGCTGCAACTCGAACTGCTGCACATCTGTGCAAAGTTCTGTGTTGAAACCACTCAATTCGTTATGTTTAAAAACATGGTTTTATTGATTCGGAATTAAATGGTGGTAAGGAAGCTGAATTGTAGTTAACCAAGTAGAGCAGATTCATATAAGTATTCGCAAAACAATTGAAGTCTTCACCAACTTTTTAAATTTAGTTTAAAGAATAGTAAGGATGATAACATTACTGAAAACGATATCGCAGTATGATATATACCGGAGAAGGATTCAATAAAAATATTCACGTTTTGAGTTTCACATATTTTGGTGAATAGCTAAGTTGAATAGCTTCAGTATTCGCCAGCTGTACGATTTGATTGATTTTCAAGGTGGATTCAATCACTAACCAACAGCCAACAGAACCAGTGGGAAACAGCTTCTTCTCTAGAACTGTTCAGGAGTGTACACCGACTAAGAATCGAACACAGGGTTGGTTTCCTGAAGCTCTAACGATATGTGACTGATAGAATTCATCTTATTAGGGGTGGGGATAGATACTTACCGATGGTGTTGATTGAATATGCTGTTGTATCACCACCCACTGACTAAGCTGAGAATTTATCAACCATTGTATACTTACCTAATGGCTGGATTGTAATGTGATCATCTCGTAACCTCAAGCAACATGTTTTATTTATTTGTAGAATATCATGGCAATAAATGATGAAAAGTCCTCAACTAGTACAAGCATACCTGTCCATTACTCTACGGTTTCCAAATAACAGTGACGAAATTTACCTTGAAGCAGTAATTGAGTAATATATCTCATATTCTCAATATCCTGGTAGGGTTTTTTTAATTATTCCTTTACGTTCCCACCGAAACATAGGGCTCCAAGCTAGAGGCTTGAAGTTTCGTTATCAGTGGTGCTTATTATGTTTACGGGATGGCGCTGTTAACCTTATGCCCAATCTTCCCTCATTACCAGTTTTATTACTGCCTTAACGAGGTAAAGAAGTGCTGCTTTCAAAAGCAGTTAGGTGTGTGCATAAGTGCGCGCGAAGGTTACAATTATTAGTAGGTTGGAAGTACATCTTGTCTATAAACGCCAGTAGGTGGATAAACGCAAATTCACAGTTTCTTACCGCCATCTAGGATTCGGCATGAAAGTTACCCATTGTGTAAAGTTTATTTTAAACTAGATAAATTCATCAAATTATGAAATGACGATTAGATAAATGGAGGTTAGGTCCATAGAACACGAATCGATGAGCTTACACTATTATTATTAACTACATATATTCGATATATATATATATATATATATATATATATATAAACGAAGATTTACAAATTATCATACAGCAAACATACTTTGTTCCAGTCAGGAATAATTTCTTCAAACGTTTAGCACCGTTAGCTAACCGTAAGATACAACTGGATTCTTGAGTAAGCACTATATTACGACACCAGCCAACATCTAACTCTTCTAAGTATTGGCAGTGTTCAGCTATAGAGGATATTCCTGCAGCTGTTAGAGAACTGCATCTCCATAAGTTTAGTGAACGCAGATTTCTAAAATATGTACAAAAAGAAATAAAAATTTATCATTTCATATATATAGATAGATAAATGTATATCAACTCAGAAAATCTGTGAACCACTTATGCGTCCTAGTTGAGCACTCCTCATCAACGTGATCACATGACACTATGTAGACAAAAGCTTAGGATCGTAACGTTGAATAAATAATAAATGTATAACCATTTAGTTTCTACAGACTGGAATCTAACGTCGATCAATAATGAGCACAAAAGTACCGGTTATTGGCCATTTTTCAGAAAATTAGTTTTTTCAAACCTAATTGAAATCACAGATGGAGACCATTTAAAAAAGTAGTGCCTACCAAAAAACAAAAACAGTTTTAGGCTGTTCTAGAATATTTCATGATAACACTATTTGTTAAATTAGCTGTAGCTTTTGTCGACAGACACCACGGAAATGTTACAGATCAATTCATGGGAGAAATTGCAAAAAAAGAGTAGAAAAGAGACAAAACATTCACAAGAACTGTTAGATCGAACTCTGACAGTTGAACTTTTTTCCCGTAAAAAGATTCAATATGTTTGCCTGGAGCAAAAACAACTGTTTAATAAGCCTTCTGAAACTTTTTCATTACAGTTTGCCTTCACATCAGTTCTTATAGTTCTGCATTTCACCAAGACTAATCAGTATATATAACATTAATATTACACTTTATATGTTCAAACCAGACAACACAGGAAGGGAACACATCATGGGTAGAGAAGCTCTCGGAGAAATGAATGAAAATGGAGAACTCTTCACCGACTTCTGTGCATTCAACAAACTAGTGATTGGTGGCAGCGTATACAAACACAAAGATATCCACAAGGCTACATGGGTGTCATCAGATCAGAGAACCAAAAACCAAATTGACTTCATCTCAATGCTGCTCAAGGAAGTGGAGGCGCAGACTACTGGACACAAAAGCAAGAAGAGGAGCAGACGTTGGCTCAGACCACTATCTCGTACAAGGGACAATCCAAATCAAATTAAAAGCTTTCAGGGAAACAGGAGCTGCAGATAGACCACAAGCCAAGTTCAACACTCAAAAACTGAAGGACCAGGCTACAAAGGACATCTTCATTGCAAGCATAAGGGACACAGTCGAGACACAAATCAACACTAGCGAAGAGGTCGGCGTCGAAAAGCACTGAGACAACTTGAAAACGGTGTGGAGTCAAACCCTAATAGAAGTTCTAGGCAGAAAGAGGAGACAGGACAAACAGTGGCTCACTATGGACACCTGAAGATTAATAGAGGAGAGAGGGATGGTGTAACAAAAGATTATCCAGTACTACGACGAGCAAAGACGTATCGCCAAATTGACGGAGTCGCCATGGGAAGCCCCCTGGGTCCGATTCTGGCAGACATTTTTATGGGTAGTCTAGAACAAACAAGGTTAAAATCCTCAATCAGCCAGACAAACTTCTATACCAGGTATGTCGATGACACCTTCGTTATTTGTAATTCCTTCAATGATGCATCTCAAGTATTAAAAGTCTTGAACAGCACCCACCCTAATATTAAGTTTACAATGAAGTATGAAAAAGAAGAGAAGTTCCATTTAGTGGACTTGGGTATCCAACGAGATAAAGACGGCAAAATCATAAGATATATACACAGAAAGGAGACTTGGAGGGCGGTTTATCTTAACTTCAAAAGCTTCTGCCCTATAAGTTACAAAAAAGGGATTGGTGAGAACATTATTTGATCGTGTGAGGAAACTGTGTTCAGAAGAAAAGACTGAGGAAGAGCTATCCACTGCGGAGAAATGCCTACGCGACAACGGTTACCCACAAAAGTTCATCGACAAGTATGGGAGACGTTATGTTGAAAAGTGAAAAGCAGCACAGTGGACAAAAAGCCTATCTTTCTGCAGCTTGCATTCAAAGGTGATGATACTGCTAGTAGAATAAGACTGAACGCTGCCATGGAGAGAACATATCCAGCCGCCAAGCTTGTATGTGTTTATCAAACAACTAGTTGTTTGAGACTATGAAAAGTGGACAAATACCCACCTCATGTTACCTTCAACTGTATCTACCGATTTACATGTACGTGCCAAAGCACATACATTGGAAGAACAGAGAGAAGGGTTAGTGTCCCCATCTATGAACACATACCAAAGAACTTGAGATTGAAAGGTCCGGAAGCATTAAACAGTGAGATCGCTCGTCATCTATTGGATATTTCTTTCTTTCTGTTTTCGACATAGAACTTTGCACAAATGTGCGGAAGTTCAAGTCGCCACATTCCGTGTAGCACGCGAAGCAAGAGAAGAAAGTACAAGAAAAGCATAATAGAAACAGTGAGCAGAGGTGTGAGACAAAGGAGTAATAAAGAAATACAAAACAGTTTCATTGAAGATCATAAGTCACAGGGAGTGGATGCATCTGCGCCACTGAGAACGATTTTGAGCCATGTCACCAATTGTTTCCAACCATAGATTTTTACCGTCCCGAGGACCCCAGCCTGGAAGTCTACACCTTCCTACGTGGCTTAGACCAACTGTTGTGGATTTCATTGACTGATGCCAAGTTTTTGTTTGACCGCCGCTAGCTTTTTTCCAGCCTGACCCTATATCCGCTAACATAGCTCGTCGAGGGAGGCGATGGCTTGGCATACGTAACACATGTCCTAACCATCTCAGTCTTTGTAGCTTCACGACTTCGTCGATTGATTTCCCCTGTTTACCTAGAACTCTACGCCTAACCTCCATGTTGCTCACCTTATTATGCCACTTTACACGGGAAATAGAACGCAGGCACCTATGATCAAAGACAGCTAGTCTTTTCATGTCTTCCACTCTCAGTGGCCAGGTCTCACAACCATAAAGGAGGACGGAGCGGACTGATGAGCAGTACACCCGCCCTTTGGTCGATAGTCGAACATCTCGTCTACGCCAGAGTCGGCGTAAACTAACAAATGCGAAACGAGCCCCTTGTATTCGTGCTGAGATTTCGTCAGAGATCAGCCCGTTGGGGCTGATGGTACTTCCCAAATAAGTGAAGCGGTCAACGTGCTCTACCACTTCACTTCCTATTTTTAAACTAGGCGTCGATGTAGTCCAGTCCTGTAACATCATCTTGCATTTGGCGGGAGCGAATCGCATGCCAAACATTCGTAGATTGCGGCTCAAGGTGTTTAGAAGACTCTGCATTTCGTCAGCGTCTTCGCCTAGAAGGACTATATCGTCTGCATATTCCAAGTCAACGAGATTATTCCCCGGTAGCAAGTCAATCCCTGAGTCGCTGAAGTCACCTAGGGTTAAGTCCATTAACACATCTATGATGAAGTTGAATAGAAAAGGAGATAATGGGCATCCTTGACGGACACCACTGGTCGTCATCAGTTCAGATGACAGCTCGCCGTAAGCCCTCACCTGGCTGTATGAGTACGAGTAGAGTGCCTTAATCAGTGCAATATATTTTCTCGGAATTCCCTTTACAGCCAAGCATCTCCAGAGAACTTCCCGATCGACAGAGTCGAATGCTGCCTTTAGGTCAAGAAATATAATGACTGTTGGACGCCGGTAGGAATGCCTATGTTCTAGAATCTGTCGGAGGGTGAAGATATGATCAATACACCCTCTTCCTGGTCTAAAGCCTGCCTGGCTCTCTCGTGTTTGTGCTTCCCGAGCACCACTCAGTCTACGCATGATTATTGAGCCTAAGACTTTAGATACTATATTAGTCAAGCTAATCCCTCTGTGATTATCACAGGAAGACTTGTCTCCCTTCTTGTATATGGGGATAATCAGTGACTTACACCAACCCGATGGGACTTCTTCTGATTCCCAGACGCTGCCTAGTACCTCAGTTAATCCGGACAGTAAGCTGTCTCCACCGTACTTAAATACCTCTGGAGTCATTCCATCAGGTCCCGCTGCTTTGCCTAGTTTCAGATTGGTGACAGCTTTAGTAACCTCAGTTAGTGACGGAGGACCTGTGTCTATATCCCATTCAGGGAGGTGTTGGATGCTCGGAAGGTTGAGCGTGGCTGTGGGCAAATTAAACTGCTCCTCATAATGCTCTTTCCAACGATCCAGTCGTCTATCCTGGGAGCTAATTATAGTGCCATTTTTTTCCGAGATTGTCTCACTAATGATTTGTCTTCTCCCACCCGTTTCCCTGATGAGTCCAAAGAGTTGCCTGGTGTTGCCTATCCTCGAAGCTTTCTCCATCTCTTTGGCTTTTGTCGCCCACCACTGTTCACGGTCCTTGCGGAGACTTTTCGTAAGTTTCCTCTTGTGCAGCTTTCGCTCCTCATTGAATTCGGAGCTCGCCGGAATAAGTCTTCTAGCATCTATCAGTTCGGATGAGGCGGTGGAGATCCAGTGGTTTTTACTCACCTTTGGGTTTACCTTATTCACAGCTTTTACAGCTGTATCTATGGCTGCCTGGATATTTTTCCAAGCTTCTTCAGGGTGAGCACAGCTGTCGAACACAGATATGTGTTTAGCTAGTTCTTCCTGAAATACGGATTTAGTTTCCTGATCGAGCTGGGGACGTGATGGTTTTACCGCCAGCTGTTTCCTACGTCCGTTCAGTCGTAAGCACACCCGAGCGCGGACCAGTGCATGGTCGGTATCTACGCACGTGTTCCAGAAGGAGCGACAATCTCCTACCGACCCACGCCAACGATAGCTTATTGCTATGTGGTCTATTTGTGTCCAGCGTTGGTTTGATGAAGGGGGTCTCCAAGTCAAACAGTGTCTCTCCTTGTGTTTAAAGTTAGTGCTTACAAGAAACAAATGATTATCAGAGCAGAACTGTAGGAGACGGTCACCGTTGTCGGTTCGCTGGCACGGAACTCCATAGGTGCCACCGACATCCTTCTCAGATTGACACAATTTCCCTACTTGAGCGTTAAAGTCACCAGCTAGAACGACTATGTCTGAGCGTTTAGCCTTTCCACCAAACTAGACAGCTTTTGGTAGAACTCATCCTTCGTTTCATCTGAACTGCAGTCAGTGGGGGCGTAGGCGGAGA